AGGTAGAATGAATAGAAAGAAACAACACCACATTCAGTTAGTGTTTCTAGTAAAATGACTAAAGAATCAACAGCACATCCAATGAGTGTTTCTGGCAAAATGACTAAGGAATCAACAGCAAATTATATATTAAGTTTCTGTTAGAATGAATAAAGAAACAACAGCACATTATAGTTTATGTTTCTGGTAAAATGACTAAAGAATCAACAGCACATTCTAGTTTATGTTTCTGGTAAAATTACTAAAGAATCAACAGCACATTATAGTTTATGTTTCTGGTAAATTGACTAAAGAACCAACAGCACATTCTAGTTTATATTTCTGGTAAAATGACTAAAGAATCAACAGCACATTGTAGTTTATGTTTCTGGTAAAATGACTAAAGAATCAACAGCACATTATAGTTCATGTTTCTGGTAAAATGACTAAAGAATCAATGGCGCATTCTAGTTTATGTTTCTGGTAGAATGAATAAAGAAAAAACAACACAGTATAGTTTATGTTCCTGGTAAAATGACTAAAGAATCAACAGCACATTATAGATTATGTTTCTGGTAAAATGACTAAAGAATCAACAGCACATTATAGATTATGTTTCTGGTAAAATGACTAAAGAATCAATAGCACATTATAGTTTATGTTTCTGGTAGAATGAATAAAGAAACAACAACACATCCAGTTAGTGTTTCTGGTGGTAAAATGACTAAAGAATCAACAGCACATTATAGTTTATGTTTCTGGTAGAATGAATAAAGAAACAACAACACATACAGTTAGTGTTTCTGGTGGTAAAATGACTAAAGAATCAACAGCACATTATAGTTTATGTTTCTGGTAGAATGACTAAAGAAACAACAACACATCCAGTTAGTGCTTCTGGTGGTAAAATGACTAAAGAACCAACAGCACTTTATAGTTTATGTTTCTGGTAGAATGAATAAAGAAACAACAATACATCCAGTTAGTGTTTTCGGTGGTAAAATTACTAAAGAATCAACAGCACATAATAGTTTATGTTTCTGGTAGAATGAATAAAGAAACAACAACACATCCAGTTACTGTTTCCGGTGGTAAAATAACTAAAGAATCAACAGCACATTATAGTTTATGTTTCTGGTAGAATGAATAAAGAAACAACAACACATCCAGTTAGTGTTTCTAGTAAAATGACTAAAGAATCAACAGCACATTATAGTTTATGTTTCTGGCAGAATGAATAGAAAGAAACAACACCACATTCAGTTAGTGTTTCTAGTAAAATGACTAAAGAATCAACAGCACATTCTATTTTATGTTTCTGGTAGAATGAATAAAGAATCAACAGCACATTCTAGTTTATGTTTCTGGTAAAATGACTAAAGAATCAACAGCACATTCTAGTTTATGTTTCTGGTAGAATGAATAAAGAAACAACAACACATCCAATTAGTGTTATTATTGCATCAGCAGCACACATAGTTTCAATCAGTTTATTCCTCTTTGGTGAAAGTGATTTGCTGCTCTCATCAGACCATAACTTTCTTGGTGTAGACGATTTCCTGCACACATCCTCTGTTGGTTAAGGCGATTGTCTACACCAATCACACCATACCTTTTTCAGTGTATGTGATTTTTTTTCACCAATCACAAGATTATACCTCTTTTAGTATATGTGGTGTTTTGCACCAGTCACACCATACATGTCTTGGTGTACATGATTCCCTGAACCAATCACACCATACCTCTGTTGGTGTAAAAGATTTCCTGCACCAATCTCAGTATAACTCTCTTGATGTAGAGATTTTCTGCACCATTCAGACCAACCCGTATTTTGTGCAAGTGATTTTTTGCACCAATCACACCATACATCTCTTAGTGTAGATAATTCCCTGCACCAATCACACCATACCTCTGTTCGTGTAGAAGAATTCCTGAACCAATCTCAGCATAACTCTTGATGTAGGACATTTTCTGCGCCATTCAGACCAACCCTTATTTTATTTAAGTGATTTCCTGCACCAATCAGACCACACCACTCTTTGTGCAAGTGATTTCCAGTACCAATCAAACCACAATCCATTGGTGTAAATATTAGCCAGCACCAATCACACGATCCCTCTCTTAGTGTAGATGATTTTCCACACCATACCGCTCTTAGTATACGTGATTTTCTGCACCAATTACACCTTACCTCTCTTTATGTAGGCTTATTCCTTGCACCAATCACATCATACCTCTTAGTGAATGAGATTTCCTGCAATAATTTTACCATACCTCTGTTAGTGTAGATGATTTCCTGCACCAATTACACCTTACCTCTCTTTACGTAGGCTTATTCCTTGCACCAATCACATCATATCTCTTTTAAGAGAATGTGATTTCCTGCGCACAATTTTTGGTATAGAATACTTTTTCTGTAATTTGATGGGTGATGACAACAACATTTACAAAGAGAAGGTGCACACTAAATATTGTTACTGTTTACTGTACACCCGTGTACAGTGAATATCATAAAGGCGTGAATAGAAATCTATAAAATATTTATACTTGAAGTCATTTGTGCTTCATTCAAATCCAGAGAAGACTTTTATTGGCTATGGAAGCCATTTGGTAACGCTATTTGACCATAAGTTCTTGCGAGTGTTCATCAATCATTGGCCGATTTACTGCCATATATACGAGCGGTATGCATCCGCTAACACATTATAATTGGTCTTATTGTTTTCAACTGTCATTCACAATTTACTTACGAAATTTACAGTGTCAATGCGAGCATATTATGGATGACGGGCACATGTTTAAAACTTTGTATAACAAGCACACATGATTACAGTTATCAAAAATTAGTAGATTTTATTTGCGTACGAAAATATAAAGTCAACATACATCAATTTATGCAGAAAATGTATCCATATCTATGATTGGATTGCCACAAACATTATCCGAAAAGACGATGATACCTCTCAATTCCTCTCTAAGAGACCCAATGAAACGAGTGCAATATCAATAACTCCCCATAGAAGTTACTGCTTCAGAACATGTGGTTGTGGTGAGCGCAAACTCACACTTCTAATTTTCGTTAAAGGCAAATACAGAGATCATATTGTTAACAAAAGTGTTTTCTTGGTTATGACAATCATAATGCTTTATTGTAGAACTTCATATATTGTTTTCGAGTCTGACTAGACTACATTGTTACAACTAGGATCAAGTGAAATCTTTGTTCTCATAAACTGCCCTATGATCTTCTAACCCTAGCCTTGTTGCACTAAGGGGAAATCAACAATGCAGAGTTGAAACTCAGACCCCATATCTCAGACGACCAAGCAAGTGTGTCATACACACGCTATCCCTTGAGCTACTCGTACCCGGAACTCGATGTTGGTCATTAGCTAATTGGTGTTAGAGAGTTAGAATTGGATCATGAATATTAATAAGTACGTTTATTTTGCGATCTTTGGGTAAAGCGTTCATCTGTGTCAATTCAATATGACAGTGTGGACAATAACTAAAAGTTCCGGTGTTCTGTATTATATATAGTTAAGGCGACCGAGATGCGGTACAAAAAGACAATTAAAAACAGAAAAAATAAATGTCAATGAAACTGCCCTAGTTCCAGCAAGTGTCACCACATGGGTCGTTTGGTGTAAACAAGTACAACACATTGACCAATGGAAATATGACGATAGAACCGATCAACGACCCAGCTTGCATCGCGGCACCGCACCACATCAGGGCTTTTCGTCCATTATCACGACAAATTACTCCAATCATGACTTTGACGTAAGTAAGAAGACCGACCATGAAGATCCACGCTAGTACCTATGGAGTGGGAGCAAACAAATCAAAGTTTAAAGACATACGATAAACGATACGTGGTCGGAAGCCCTGGTTTGTGTGTGTATGAAGTGAAGTATTGGTAAAGATTGCGAGGATTCGAATGGTCAGGTAAAGCTCCTAGAAACACCCTAACCATATTGTTGTGGCCTAAATATCTTCTCTAATGTCTTTGGACTAGTTAATGATATTTACTCAAATTCAACGAATGTATCGCCATAGATGTAAATTAATGTCGGAAAGACCTGTGGATTTGAACAAATTTCAATTGGACACTAGCTGGATGTTTTGAGATACATGTGTATTTCTGTTTTCGTCCACTTTGTTACTGGGTCACGTGTTTGTATTACACCAACAATTTGCCCAGAGTGCAAATTAGAACACTATTTTCGTTTCCATGTTTACAGTGAGAAGTAGGAAGCTGCACCTTAGTTTATAAACATATTCATAACAATTTTGAATATACATCAATAGCGTTCATTCAAATTCAAATATTCAATAGTGATTAGTTCAAGAGTTTAGACCACGCCCTTAATGCGAGCGTAACATAGCAACTGCGACCGCCCATTTATTCAAAATGACTCGAAGCGCTTGCTAATTGAATTGTGTTGAATTAACTCATTTTAATGTCACTGGATTGGTCAATTTGAATTTTGTCAACCATTTTTATTTATATGAATTAATATTTATAGAACGTTTATAACAACTTTATGTCCTTCACTGTATTCCCGAACATTAAAACGTGCCGTATATGGTAATATATTCTGAGACTTACCACAAGCACTTCTCCCCATATACTACCACAGAGCACGGGATACGGACTCCCTAGCGCCGTCCACATGATGTACGCACCGATACAGCTGCCCAGAAAAGTTATAAATCCAATCAAAATATTGTTTCTTGTCGGTAGAAAATGAACAAATACACACGCGGTTGGATTAGCCATCAGGCCCAACGTGACGGCTAGATGGTAGGCGACGTTGCCGTACGGTAGCGTAGAGTAAGTCTGGATCGAAGTCATGACCGTGTTCATGATGGCGTTGACCCACGCCTCCAGTAGCAGCATGTACACCCAGTCACATTTAGTCAGAGAACTTTTTGTTTTGGATTTACTGCTAGCAGATTCCTCGAAATCTAATTCAATGGTCTGTGTTGATTGATCAAAATAATCGCTATCACCAATCACTTGGTCCCCCTTATCCGCAAATTTTCGGTCTATTAGTTGAACGTTCTTATCGGTATCAACCTTCATTGCTTGTTCACGTTTACACATCGGCAGGTTGTTCAGCATAGCGAACGCCACAAAGCTACACAACAGCATCGCAGCAAGGAAGAAGAAGAAGGCATCGATAGAGAAACGTGGCGGCGGTTTGTAATAGGATAGTTCGTAAGTGGTAATGTTTGAAGTCTCGTTTAAAACCGAAGAATTTCTGCACTCTGGATTCCCTCCTTCTCCTTGCATCAATCCGACTAGCGCTGGAACGAACCCGCTGAGCCCTTCGCCGATAAAATAGGGTGTCATGTATCTCATGGGAAACACGTACATGAAGGCCAAGAAAGAAACGGACGACGTGCAGTCAACTAAAGTCAGTAAGAATGAGAGAGTGAATAGTGCAGTACTGTGCTCGACACCGTTGACGTAAGAAGTGCGGTCCCAGAAGAAAGCAAGCATTAAGCACGATATGGCACCAATACCGATGATTAAGTAATTAGTGGGTACTTCAAGGTGATACTTGGTGAACTTGCTGAGCAGTACGAATATTAACGGTCCAATGTTAGCAACTTGACTTATGATGACGACATAGGACGCTAAATTCCATCCCTCGGGTAGAAAGTGGACCATTAATGGAAATTGGACCCATAGACCATTGATATCGATCCATGAGGCCATTCCTAGTAAACAAACCAATGTTCCGATGATAATTGACGTTGTTTTCTCTCCCATTTTGTGCGTTTGACGAGTGGATGTATCTGCCGAAGAAACACAAAGAGAATGATAGTATAGTATATCAGTATTCTGATTTAGGACGTACTATATGAGTATTATACCTACCCTAAAAATGCAAACGTTCATTTTTAGTCGGTGTCATAATATTTTTACTTTCACTCTTTCTACCGACGTGTATGACAATCCCCCCGGGGGTTTAATCCCTATAATTTACCTTACGCGGATGAGCCGCCCTTTTGAGATGTGTTTTTTTTTCTGTTCTTAAATGGGATCCACAAATTTCAGGATTTGGTCTAAAATGAGGTCCACAATAACTGATTGTCAAATGGGCATGGGTCTAAAAAGGTGGTTTATTTTTCAAACAATATTTTATCTTTTTTTGCATTTTGT